AGTCTGGGGTGCCTTTTTAATACAAATATTTACTACATAAAGTACATTTTAGGCTATACACTATAGGAAATATAGACATTGATTTTTCAAGCACAGGTCAATTTCAAGAAATGGGCTTATTCTGCTTACACAACGAGACTTCTGTCAGACTAAAAATCAAAAAAGTATGTGTCTTATTGTAAGAAATCAACTGGGGAGGTTTTGTCCTCAGAGCCGTTTGCCTAAAAAAAGAGCCAGAAATCTTCATTTTCCAGTTTCATTCCTATTATTTTCTAAAGGTTTTTTGTTAATATATTTATATGGATAGCCTTATTTATATAACATTTTATTCGTAGTTTCTTAGATTGTAAACATTTGAATTTTGATGACTTTTAACCTTGTCTATGGTTTCATTACAGAGTTCTCCCAAAGTGCCTTCTACACCCCCTCCCGGTTGGAGTGACTCTGGGAAGTAAGTGGATATTAACTTTATAGTACATGCTAATGTTTTAATTATTTTGTGTGCATGCCTTTTAGCCACTAAACCTCCATTGCTAGCCCCCACTCATGTTGTGCATGTGTTTTCACTCCCAGGGGAGCAGGAGGACCCCCTGATTCACTCTCACCCAACGGCAAACACCTGAACCGGGGGTCAAACGGGGGCAGCGCCTTCCCCTCTCACATCAGCATCCCCCAGCGCATCCACCAGATGGCAGCCAACCACCTGAACATCACCAACAGCGTGCTGTACAGCTACGAGTACTGGGAGGTGGCTGACAACCTGGCAAAGGAGAATAAAGGTACACACAGACAATAAAGATGTATTATATTTGAGATAACATTTTGTTTTCAGATTTAGGTGAATATTTCATTTCATTTTTGTATTTGTTCCACTCATGGTAAAGACAAACAATTTACAATATTTCACCACCAAATAAGGATACCTGACACTAAAAACGTTATTGTATTTGTAAATACATTTATTTGAAGTAAATCATTTCTATACAATTCTTTATATCAGGGGTTACAAACCTTTTTTCTCAATAGGATCCGTTTTGAGTTATAGGTCCTCTGACTAATGTTTAGTGAAATATTTTATATATTTTTATATATGAATTTTTTCTTATTATAGTCAATGCATTACATTACCAGCATATGACTTGTAACTGTACAATTAACCCAAGTAGTAATGTAATAACTAACAATGAGTGATGCATTTTGAGGACATCATTTCCTGTTACAGTAATTATTTTAAATATTTGTTATTACAATTCTTGGTCTGCATTATGTTTTTACCAACCATCATTACTTAATACACTTCAATCCATGGTGAGTCTATCCATGATAGCAGAAAAGAAAGACTGTGAATGTATCTTGTGCTCAGTTCTTCACTGTGTACTTGTCTTTTAACAACGTTTTAAAACACTTTCTTCTTTTTTTCATTACAGAGTTCTTCAACTACTTGAATACGTTGTCTGGGCCTTTGACTCTTCACAGTAGCATCGCTCACGCAGTCCAATACACCAGACAGGCTCTGCAGTGGATACGCATTAGTGCCAAACTTAACTGACAAGGAGAGGATTTACTGTAACCTGCACACGGCCTCACAGAAGAGACGAGACTCTGGATCTTAATGCAGCCGACCGGACAGCACTGATGCCTCCTGAGCGAGTTGGAGCTGGAGGAGGAAATGTCATGGAGCCTGAGATCATCCTCATAGGATGTTGGATTGCGTACTGGGTGCAAAGGAGCAAGCTTTTAACTTCTCCCAGATGAACTACGAGCACCTTCTGCCTCATTATTGGATTCATCGGAAGAGCTGTGTCATAAATGAAGTCTCTAATTATTTGCCAAATGTTCAACGTTGACGGAAACAGGACTCTACAGTTGTTTGTGAAATTCCACTTCTGAGGCCTTTTTCATACTTTGGAATTAAATCATTATCCAGCAGACTGTTTATCTCGGAGCCAAAAAGAAAGAAGAAGTTGTCAAAAAAGAAAAAAGACCAAATTAATCACATACCACTTTCTCCAAAGTGGGAAACTTGTCTCCATCTTTTTATAATGAAGGTTTTAATGACTCTCTTTTTAAGTCTCGGATATTTTCACTTTTATGTGTTTTTTTTACTGTGCAATATCTGTTTTTATAAAGAAAAGAAATAAGGAAAATGTTCTTTTGTGAGTCCGTTCAAGGTTCCTTTTATGCAAATTGTATTTTTGTCCTTGTTTTGAGTGTGAGGTTATGTAATTTAATGAATAATGAGGTTGAAGAGGTTTCTCACTTATTGCTAAGTGTATTGTCTTGTCCCCAGCTTCTGCCAGCATGAATGCCACAGGTAACAAAACACCAACATGGAGTTGATAATCCTTTTCCTCTTTTCCATTTTTTAACTGAAGGATTACAATGTCATCTGTGGGTCAAGATATTCTTCAAATCTTCAGCTTATGAAACCCTCCTTAAATCATGGTGTTTTGCTTTCCCCTTGTGCCTGACAATCAAACTGAATTGCTCTTTAAATGTCATCGGTTTTAAGTTATTTGAATTGCTCAACAAATAAAACATGTGGGCAGTTATTCTGAGCTATGGAAGGGTTTCATTCTTGAAGCTACTGTTTAATTCTGTGACTTTTGCATACATTTAGTTAATTATTTATGAACGAGAATGCCCCAAATACATAAAGTGATCCCATATTCTCTGCAGGAAACCTGGTCTTTACATTATATGCATGCACAGCTTACTCCCTCAAACACATGAATAATTCTCACTCATCAATGTTTGGGGAAATCTCCTGAGCATCCGACTGAATATCCATCTCTTATTGTCTCAGTGTCCTTTTTTATTTCATCATATTATTGATAACTTTGTTGGACAGTTAAATAGATTTATGTGTCAATGTATGTGCTTTATATGAAAAGAAAGAGGCTATTTCAGGTTATTTCTCTCTCTCTCACTCTGGATTTCTTTCTATAATTGACACAGCCACACACACTCAGACGTGGGTGGTTATGTGTGTGTGAGTCACACTCATTAAGTCGTTGTGCAGAGATCTCTCTCTCTGCACATCCATCAATCACTCTCTGGCTCTCCATCACTGCATCTCTACTTCCTGCTGCACTTACACACAAGTCGTGTATGAAACAGCATCAGCATCCGATGTCTGGTACCATAGCAACAGAGAACAACCAATGAGGGGGCTCCTCAGGACAAGGCGGCAATCTCTGGGTCAATAGCATCATGGTGTTTTTCACTCTTTGAAATGGGGCTTATTGCAAATAAGTACATTTTCTTTCACTGGATTTTGACCTGGATTAAGATTATTGTATAGTCCATAACATGTGCATAAAATGTAAATGTGTCTCTGGCAATGGCATATTACAGAAAAATAATACATGATAAGTATGCATTTGAAAATCCTGCTACTTTATATCACTGTCCTTTATTTGAAGGTGAATAGAAAATATATTTAACTATGCAAATTGATTACAGATCAAGTGGGCATAATCATTTAAACGTCATGATCATTTCGAACAGTTGAAATATACCCTTTGTTGCCTTGATTTGAAAAAAGGCTAATAATAGGAAATTAGTCTAAATTAAATCAGTCATATGTACAAAAGTCAAAAGTCAAAAAAGCTTTGCTCTCAGGCTGTAGCCTACCCTTTTTATTCTGGGCATAGATTGTATTTGAAGATGTATTTATAGCTTCTATATTTACGTAACAGGCAGTGTATGGTTCTGGCTCGTGTGTCCTTATTTCACTCCATGGTGCACTAATTCATTCATTGAGCTGCTCACTAACGTGGATATGCATAGAAATACAGTACACAAAACAGTCCTATTTTTTTCTTTTCTTACTGTAGTACTTGGTTATTATTATTGTATATCAAGATGTATTTATACGCTATATTTATGCAACAGACTCAGTCTATGGTTCTGGCTCAGTGTGCGTGTGACCTTGTTTCCCTCCATGGTGCATTCATTCATTAATGGAGCTGCTGAATAACCTATTTTTAAATGTTTTTTTCTTACTGTACTTAAACTGTACTTGGTTATTATTGTGTCAATGTGAGCTCCGTGACTGCTGCTGGTTCCTACACACGTCCCTCTGCGTCACGGCCGTAAGTAGTGAGTGTGTTCCGGGCCGTTTGAGGACACCGTGCTGCCCGGAGCCAGACAGCACAAACACCGAGAGAGAGAAAAGCTCAGACTAGGCTTTACATGTACTGTCTGCTGCAGGAGAGAAGGCGGCGTGGGCGCACTGTGGACACTAACCCTCCTGATATAAGAAAAACACATTTAAAGAGGTGGACAAACTGTCAGAGAGAGATAAACAAATGGTTATGTTCTGCATGCAAACGACTCTCTTGTTAGGGTTTATATACAGTCTATGGTCCAGTGAAAGTACGGGTGGTTTGTAAACTGTACACAGCTTTTACAGAGGATGTTGTAGAGTCATTTCAGGTGACATGCATGCACTCGGTTGACCGCACAGTGGCAGCATTACAACCACAACTTGAAGCTAAAAACAAGAAGCCGGCGATGAGCCGGATCAAGTTAGCTCAGAGAAGCTATAGGCTAAGCGGAAGTTGGGTGGTGTTTTCTCAAAATAAAATACAATCTTGGCTAGACAAGATACACTTAATTACTCTTACCCAGACTAAAGGTAAAGCAAAGATATACAATTATTTGGAGGTTTCAGAGTTAAACATACAATTCCACAAAACATAAAATGTTGATCTAGAAGACTCTTACTGTTGCCTCAAAGTTTAAACCCCATATTCAGATAATTATGTGGATCTTAATGTATTCAAAATAATACATTTTAACAAGTATCTTTATTTATATTACCCACCTGTTTCCCACAATATTTTTACTCAGTAGTACCATAGAGTAGTACACACACCTTTAACGTTTATTGTCATCGAATGTTTTATTTTGAAAATCCCCCCAGAACTACTATGTTCTGCTGGTTTCACTTGATGCTCGTTGAGAATAGAGAAAGCAAAAAGCTCCAGCAGGCGGGCGGTAGAAATGGAGAGTAAAAGGACTGGGAGGGAAAGCGAAAACGCTGAAGAGACATGGCGTGGCAGCAAGACAAAATAACAGGATTTCAGCCCAACGAAAAGGAGTTATCTGAAGAACAAAGTAAATCTTGACGGGTCGAGCTAGCGTTTACTGACTGGAGGATTTTCATTTCGCTTTGCTTTGGTCTCGCCGCGTAATCAGTGCGCACTGTGTGTTGTATCTGCAGAGAAATCTGTAGCGAAAAACACAGCCTGGCAGGATTAAAGGTAAAAACAAGTCACTTGTGTTTACCATAATTTACCCAGGACTGTTTTTACAGATTTACACCGCATTGAAGTTGCAAAGTCGTTATGAGTAACGTTGCTGTGTCTATTGTCTGCTGGCTGAATAGGCAGCTTTGTTCCCGAGTGCATGGCAACACTCAACTCGTATGTTTGCTATCATTGACACCATGTTACAGTCCTGTCCTGCGGCATCGACCTTCTCGATTAACAAACAAAGCATTGCTTGGAGTGGCTAGGCTAACTTACTGTTAGCTGCGTGCACTGGGGATGTGACAAAGTGCCACATGGGGCTCTGTTGTAACCAACCTGTCAGTGTCTGCAGACCTGCCCGGGCATGCCCTTGGACACAAAGCTGTGCGTAAAAACAGTATCACAACATTTCAGCTGACATGAAACTATAGTAGTAAATGCATAACACAACAGCCATTAATGTCAATTGTGTGCAGTGTCATTGCTTCTCTGCAGCTGAGAGGGCTTTGTATACAACAACAAACATGGAGTCAGTATTTTTTGCACATTTCAAACATGTACTTATTGTAAGTAGGTTCATAATTAAATTGATTGGCACACATGTTTCTGATTTGTGTTGACATCCATCATCAGGATTGTAAAGCTATTTGTGTGCATCACAAAAACTAATTGTAAACAATAAGTTTTGTAAAAATAAAATACTCTAATCTTTATCTGCTATCTCGTATTTCTTTATTTTATTTACAGCGTTACTTACTTGTTTTGTATCATATTATCCTTATGTGAACTCTTCCAGTTCCTATCCTATCTCGTGATTCACTCTTATTACTGTTGCTGCTTTGACACCTGAATTTCCCTATGGCGTTTAATAAAGGTTTATCTTTCTTATCTTAATTAATGAACAAAGCACTAAGCTGTATTTGCCTTGTCTCCTGAGTACTGATGTCTAACTCTTCTTGTCTTGCTTTCAGTATGAGTCGAGATGTGTGGTCAAAAAAGAAAGCCAATGCCAGTGGTGACAATGGTTGGGCTGAGAGGGTGAGTACCTGTCATGTCCTCCTAATCAGCAATGTAGGGCAGAAATAACTCCAGAATGAAGACATGAAAATAAAAACAGTAGACATGACTCTGAGAAATGTTACCTTAGGGGAGGTAGACGGGAAGATGAATATTCAGTTGTAAATACTACGTCAAGGGAAAAACATTCAAAGGGAAAGAGGGTATTCCTTGGTTTATGCAAAGTGAGTTTTACAATATTACTGGGAAACTGTAAGTGAACAACCCTTTTCTTCTTCACCCCCTGCAATTTCATTAAAGCAGCGAAGAGCCTGAAGCAGATCACTAGTCATTGTCTAATTAGGTTCAGGCTGGACTGCCAGGCAAAGCTTTAACAAAGCTGTGAGAGAGCTGCATTTAGCCCCAAAACGACATCTCATAATAACAGTAGTATCACCATTCAGACAAGACTGTAATCCTACAATAGCTATTCTTGTAACTGAAGCAGGAAACTTTAAACCCTAAGTTACCCATGGTAACATACATGTGTCATACATACTGATAATTAAAACAGTGTGGCTTGGTGCCAGATTGTTTATGTAGGTACTATTCTCATCATCAACTTTAAATTCCCACTGGTATCATTGTCCATGTTTTACTGTTTTGCTTTTATTTGACATTTAAAATTTTCTTTTTTAAATTGTTTTATTTGAACCGATATTAATTTCTTGCCAGCTTTAATTTCGAGGGAATTTCATTAAGATCACTGTAGATGTTTTATCTTGTTCTGCATTTATTTTAATATTGTGATGTTGTTTTTCTTGTTCTGTAAAGCACTTTGGGCTGCTTTGTGCATTAAAGGTGATATACAAATAAAGTGTATTATTATTTATTATTATTATCATAGACAAAGGCATTTTGATATTCCTAACAGCATTTCAAGACTAAATATTTCCTTTGAAATATGTATTATTTTTTGGCCATTATTTTGTTAAAAAACTTTAATTTATATTTACATATCCTAGATTGCCATATGAGCTGTGGGATTCTGCAGGCACAGTTGTAAATCTTTTTTCTCACCTTGCCCTCCTTCTTGTGTGCAGGGCGGCTACATGGCTGCCAAAGTTTCTAAGCTGGACGAGCAGTTTAAACTGGAAGCCCCCAGAGAGAAGCAGAAGGACGGGACATGCTCCACTATTTTCAGCGGAATATCTATCTATGTTAATGGATATACAGGTAACACTACGCTACAGCACCTCCACTAGTTTGTCTCTCTTTCCCTCTCAATAATTCATCCGTCGTTCCTGAAGTCACCCGAGCGTCAAAAATACATATTTTCCCTCTTTTGATTTGAGCAAACATATCACCGTAGAGAAGGAACATGCATCTGCTCAGGAGGCTCGTGCTCACTCTCTGGCAGGTGTAGTTAGGTAGAAATAAAATAGTTCCCACAGCAAACTTCTCCCTACAAGGTTTGTGGATTATGTTGAGCAACTCTTTGAGAGGCATTGTAGATGAGTTTTTTATTAAGGCAAACCTCTCAAGGGACGATATCTCTAACATTCGGCACCGCAAAAAACTAAATCCAGATGGTAAACAGAAAAAAGTCCAATATAACTGTACGAATAGTTTACAAGTGTTTTTCTTTTTGTTCCTTTCACATGATGTTTCATGTCACAACTGATTTTATTTGTTTCTCATGTAAATGATTGCTGTGTTTGTGATGTTTTTCTGCAAGTCTGACTCTTGCCTTGTGTGGACCATAGAAATCGATTTTTTGGGTCTTTTTGGTTAATTTTTAACTTGTCTGTTTGTGAGCAGACCCGAGTGCGGATGAGCTGCGCAGGCTGATGATGCTGCACGGCGGTCAGTTCCACACGTACTACTCTCGCTCCAAGACCTCTCACATCATCACCAACAACCTGCCCAACAGCAAAATCAAGGAGCTGAGAGGGGAAAAGATCGTCCGGCCGCTGTGGATCACTGACAGGTGAGTTCAGTGGGACAAGAGAATATCTTGCTCATTCAATATCATAGTGTACAATCCCCCTTGTTTATTTGTATAGTTACATTTACATTTTGTTTAAATACTTGTCTTTAGCATCCTTTTTTAATGCTAAATTGCTTCTTAAAAATAATTTATTTTGGTTATCCTTATATATTTCTTTTTTTTTTACCTACTTTGCAACTTGTTTTTTCATATTGTTTATGTTCACACCACCAGATACCAAAGCAAATTCCTTGTATGTGTAAACGTACCTGGCAATAAACTTGATTCTGATTCTGTGTTTATGTTCTCGTTTGTTCAAACAGTATCCAGGCTGGGTGTCTCCTGCCCTGCCTGCAGTACCAGCTCTACAATCAGAAGGGCCCGCTCTTCCCTGCCATGATTTCCCGCCAGACGCCTGAGATGGCAGGGCCGAGCCATCAGAAGCTCCACCTGCCGCAGCGCAGCATGCAGCGCTCTGTTCTCAACCAGGAAAGCCAGAATAACTCCCTCCCCCCCCCGAACCACAGTCGACTTTACCCAGACAACATCCAACCTCAGTCCGTGCAGCCGAGCTCTGCTGCTCGCCTCATCAACCCACAGCCAAGCCACTTAGCATCCACTTACCTCAACACAGATCCCAGGCACAGAAGCCCCTCACACACCCACCTGCTGTCTAACCCCAGCCCCACAAAACCCCCCCTCAAGCCCCCACTGTCCCCTTTACAAAACCCTCAAGCTAATCTGCAGCACCAGAGGGCCGGTCAACAACAACCTCACAGCAACTCTTCTTACAACAGCAGCTGCAAGGAAGTGGAGTTAAAGATGTGAGTATGGAAAGTTAATGAGCCATAAAATGGGAATTTCAAGGAATTTAATAATTCATATTTTCAGACCTAGAGTTCTATAAAATCCAAGTTATGGAAGTTGAATTTACAGTTTTTCTTTTTCTTACATATACAACAATAAATCCCTTAAAACATAAATAATTTAAATATTTAACATTTAAAAGTTTAAAAGTTGCAAAATAAAAGATCTTCCATCTCTGTGTTTTCCCCTTCATGCTTGGGCTTCCTACCTGAACGGAAGACATTTAGACAATATTTGATCATAAATACAATTTATGAAAGGTCATGGAAATCCACTGGCTCAATTGTGTAGGAATCCAGGAGGGAACTGTTTTTTCATTTAAATGAGATCGTTGCACCCATTGTAACATAATGGCTTACTAAATGAGCCACATCCTCTTTATCTTTTTATCCCACAGAAATGGGTTCCTGCAGACCTCATTTGACGTGATGAGCCATTCAAAATTAAAAGAAATGCAAGAGTGTGGCAAAGCAGATCCTCTCCCGCAGGTGGTGAAGGAAGCTCACCTGACGAATGGACACTCTCACCTTGTTAATGGTGCCTTAAAGCCAGAGGACCTGCTGTCCCCTGCTCAACCCTCTGATGACACGGAGCTGCCTCAACGCAGAGTCAAGAGTTCACACGATAAACCTCACAGTCCTCCAGGGCCGTTTCAGACCAAACCCGACCCTTATGAGTTCCCCCAGAGTCCTCCAAAGCAATCCGAGCAGTCTGTGGTCTCTCTGAAGCAATCCAGTTCACATGAAGCCAACGAGAAGAGACTTAAACCTCCACCACCCACCTACCAGGAGGCTTTAAAAGCCACGGAAACCCACCTACTCCCAAAACAGCTCCACCCATCCCGTCCAGTTAATTCACATCCAGAAAAGACTCCTCTTTCCCCCGCACATCGCTCTCTTTCACATTCTCCTGTCCGTCTGAACGGGAGTCACCACAATGCCTTTTCATCTGCCTCGCTAAACTCAACCAACATAACATCCAAACCTCATCATCCCACTGAAAAGTCCCCGTCGCCGTCTAAGTCCTCGGCGCAGCTGATGGCCCAGACAGGCGGACTGATCTCTGAGTATTACTCTCACTCACGTTTACACCAGATCTCCACGTGGAGGTCCGGCTTCTCGGAGTATGTCAACGAGCTGCACAGCAAGAGGAAAGCAGCGGGGGGCGCCTCCTTCCCAGGGAGGGAACGATTGAGGAAGTCGGTGGCCCAGCGCTCAGACAGAGGAGGTAAGAGAGGAAGGGTGGCTTTTTGCTTTTCATGTTAGTATTTTCTTCTTCTACTGTAATAATAATAATGAATTATATTTCTATGGCGCTTTTCTTGAACCCAAAGACGCTTCACATTTGGGAGGGAGGGTAGACAAACAAAACAAAACAGAAAAGCAGTCAGGAGGAAGTTGGTTGAGAGGTGGGGGGGGGCTTATGGATACAGAGTTGAAGAGGTGGGTTTTACTGTGACATGTCTCCATGCTTTAATGTTCAAAAAAGTCTTTATTGTTCTCATACTGCCTGTGCTGCTGCACCTCTTTTCACCCTCTGTCTGAAACCAGAGTCCTGTCTGCAGCTGGCCGGCTCTGTTGTGATTGGTCAACCTCTTGAGTTTTTACATTTTACCCCACTGCTGCAGTTTTGACAACTTACAGCTGCCATGTCGTTTTGCCCTTTAGCCGTTCAGTGTGACTGAGGGGGTTGTGTGCCGGTGGGAAAGTGACGTCTGTGCATACCCTCTATATTTAGGTGTCATGGTGACTCTCAAGGTCTGAGACACATACCACATAACTTCAACTTCTCCTGTTCAAGTTCTGTCAGAGACGGATTGGCATCCATTCTCGCTATGAGTCTTTTTTTTCTCTTGACTGTAGAATGTCAAAAAATGCTATGAGAACACCGGTTTCTCATCTTGAATTGACAAACCAGCACAAATAAGGACAAAATATTTTCTCTGTGAATTAAGATATTAATGTATGTGTCTCTGCAAATGAAATGATCATTAATCACTAAGTTACAGAATTCACGAGTACTCCGGGGATCATTAGTTGTTGCATTCATCTCATGATTTGCGAGCCCTTCCTCTGACTTGTTGCTTTTGTTTGTGTGGTCAGGTACGTCTGCACCCACAAGTGTCAAATCGTGTATATTTCACGTGGACATGGACTGTTTCTTCGTGTCTGTGGGGATCCGACATCGACCAGAGCTCCAAGGTAAGGCTTCTCTTTGTCTGTATTGAAGTGTGAGCTGTCAGTGAACCGGTTTATATTCAACACAACAGAACAGCCTCACACGTCCACTCGGTCTCCTGGTTGATCTCATGGTTGTGTTGCAGGGAGGCCAGTAGCTGTGACCAGTAGCCGTGGACAGGGCCGGGTCCCCCTGCGGCCCGGGGCCCAGCCTCAGCTGGAGAGCCAGTACTACCAGAGGAAACATGCTCCCCCTGGTGAGAAGCACATCACACACTGCCTGGTTGTCATGGAGCTTTCTGCTGACCTTGATTTTCTCTGTGTGTTTCTTGTATTATCCTGACACTAAATGAACGTTTGTTCTGCCTCTCAGAGATGGAAGATGAGGATCTGGACAGAAGTCCATCAGAAGACAGTCCTGTCCCCCATACTAACGGAGTGGACCAGGATACTGCGACTCTCTCTAGGGCAGAGATTGCATCCTGCAGTTATGAGGCCAGGTAGGATATGAATTTTCGTTGTTATTATTTTTTTTAGGTGGGCCTTTTTTCTGGTGTTCATTGTAGTGATGTGTCGGTCGCGACTTGTTTAGTAATACAAGACAGAATGATATGATGATCTCCTGCATGCAGTGACATGTAATATCCAACCCTGGATTACAGACTGTTGGATGCTGCTGTTTTGTGCATTGCAATATATTTCTTTTCATTTATGATTATTTTTAGGCTCAGCAAAGATTTGTTGTCAGTTTGTATAGGTGTTGCTATCTGCTTTTTTTTAGCGTGGTTCTACAATCAGAGAGTAAGGGTCTGTAAATGCAATGAAAACAATTGGCCACAGCAAATCATTTATATTAAAAATGTTCTTTTTTCTGTTGAATACTTCAGAGTACAAAGGTGTATTTAATAATTGAAGTGATATATGTGTACACAATAAAATCATTAGTCGACACAGCTACAGTTTGACTTTGAATTATAAAAGGTATATTTTGCAGATAAACCTATTAACCCCACCCCCTTAAAATAAAAACGGCTCTTTTGAGCGGCTCTCGCAAAGGAACGGAGCCATAAGATCCGGCTCCCTTCGAAAATCCATAATTCCCATCGCTTGGGGGTAGTAAATATAGTAACAACGCAGTGTAGGTGGGGCGATCGGCTGTTCGGCGGGAGGAGCGACGCTGCGTAAAACTGTCGTGACGTCATCTTCACGGCGACACAACTCACAAACACCATAACAATGCAGGATATGGAAGCGATCATGTACTTGGTTCTCGGTATGTGGCTTTTTATCACAGCAAGGAGGCAAACTTTGTTCCAGAAGAGGCTGAGTATAACAAGACGAAATACAGAATAAATTAAAACTGTGGTCACAGACGTGCGTGCAGTGATGAGCGAGTCCTCCGAAATGAGCCGTTTGTCATTTCTCTAATTTTCGTGTCTTCAACTCCCAGGTCCTCCGGCAGCGACCTGGAAACGGATGTCGGATTCCGTCTCAAAGGAAAACAAATTTCTCTAAAGGCTCGTCGAGGATCGATTATCGAGGAGGCTGTCTGGAGGAGCCGTAACCGAGGATACACTGATTTAGAGGAGAAAGGAGTCTCTCTGGAGGAGCTATAACCGAGGGTCCACTGATGCAGAGGAGAGAGGAGAGAGGAGTCTCTCTGGAGGAGCTATAACCGAGGGTACACTGATGTATTCTCCGGCAGTGGCGGAGCTGGGGGGTGGCTGGGAGTGGCCACGGCCACCCCCAGCTGAATCCTGGCCACCCTATTGGCCACCCCAAACACCCTCACCACGGGGGCCCAAACCATTTTAGAACATTAAGAAAAACATGTTTAAGTAACCTTTCATCATTCATCAAGAATTAACATTAATAGGACGTCATATTGATAATGTACTCACTAAACTTACAATTAATTTCACTTATTTTCTTCCAAAAGTTAATTATCCAAAGCCTCTGTACACCCCCTTCTATTTACATCTAATGGTTTGGTCCTGCCTCCAAACGCAGTGCAACATCGCCGGCACTTTCTAGCAGAGAGTGAGAGCATGTGAGGAGCAGGGATGCTAGTACTTACGTGTGAACCATGTCTCAACGACTAACAAAGTCAGTCTTTCAAAAGAGAAAAGAAAGGAGAGAAAGACAAGAGAGAGGGACTAAAGGGTGACAGTATGACACCAAGTTTTTCAAAGAAAAGGTGTGTGTGGTCCATGAGTGGTGGAAATGTGTCTGTTAGTCTATTGTAAATAATAATTTGTATTGTTTTTTTTTACTAAGCTGACATTAAGTACTGTTAATATCTATAAAGAAAATGCAGAGGTTTTTAATTTCACTGCTCTTTTAGCTGACATTTAACAAATGCAGGTAGATTTTTAGCAGCTATTCATACTAAACTAGTATCCCTCCCCCTGGTGCCAGGACCAACAGATCCATCTCTAGGCTCAGCAGCCCTGTCCCCCCATAAGTGTTATATTTTCACAGCTCAGTGTCAGTAAATAGTGTGCGGTTAGCATTGGACTACAAGATAGATGCAAGCCTGTACAGGTAGAGTTATTTAAAGCATAAATGAGGCGTGCGGCGCAGTGGATAGAGCCTTGGTGTTGGGATCAGGGAGTCACAGCAGGTTCAAACCCCACTGCAGTAGCATGTGTTGTGGTCCCTGAGAGGGGGGGGGGGGGGGGTGACACTTCACCCCAAAATTGCTCCTGTGGGGATTGTCCACAGTATTGAGGCTATGTATGTCGGCTCTTGGATAAACGCGTCTAACAAGGTAACATCGTAGCGCAGGAATTGTGCTTGGTTGGCTGCGGCCTGTGCCTTGGTGGTGGGGGCCAATGTGATATATTGCCATGGGGGCCAGAAATCCCTGGCCGTGAAAATGGCAGAGGGCAGGACCTATAAACACATTTACTACCCAATAGCATTGTGAGTCTGAACAAAAGGACGGCTTTGACTATGTAATGTAGTCGTTTTTAAAAAAAAAAATTTTACTGAACTTTTTTAGGTAGGCTTAAGAGTAAATGTCGTTAAAATTCCATCCGGGGGCCTTACAGGTGTTATGGGCTATTGTTTATTGTGTTATTTACCTTTAGATGTTTTTCTTGACCTATCATTAAAGAACTCTTTAATTTAAATTGATGTGTGTGTGTCTCTGTGATCCTGATGATACACTGAGAGAATGAGGCTCATAGTGCTGCTGAGCATCGAAGAA